TCTTGAATAAATGCTAAATAAGCGCCTCCGAGATAAAATGTGAATAATACAGTAACACTCATTTCTCTACGTAGATGACGCGATAAAAAAAAACGAACGCCGTGTACTAAACTTTCTTCTTCATAAAACTTTGGCGCAAATTGATTAGTATGTCATTTGCATTAGTTTACCGAGAGATACTTTAATTTGTAGAAGATAATATGAAAGTATCCGTTGGTCAAGTCATACGCAAGTACTGCATTCCCTGTCTTTTTACCACGGGCAACGAAACTGTAACATGTAGTACGCCTACAAGATAAAGCGTGCTACCTACCTAGGATGCTTAATGATTACAAGCGCAGTAAAATCGATCATTTGAATTCGATTCTGAAATGCTAGAAGTAGTGATTAAGCCAAAGAATCAACAGAAGTGGTGATAAACGGTTAATTGGTGATTCATTTATGTATCTAAACCGGGTACATCAATCCTTCGCTCGGGAACAAAGTGTAGGCTGAGAAAATTCGTTTTGAAAAACGCCTAATCTCTTTGATTAGATTGTAAAATATATAAAACCCTCATTGCATTGCAAGAGATATAACTTGTCATGGAGAAACCTTCCCCCTGTCTCATACCTGTACCCATATTTTTTCCATTTTTTTTGGTACTATTGAATTCAGTAAGAGCATATGGTAAGCCCAAAAAGGGGAAGGTATCAATACACTCTGAGCTTAATTAAGAGAATTTGGTATTGGATCAACTAATAATCCTCTTGTTGATATTTTTCTTCATTGTTATTACTTGTTGGCTTGATATTGTTTTGACATGGTGAGGAAAAATCATGTCTTGATCACTAATTGGAGTTAAAGGGTTAAGTACTGCTTTACACATGTGGTAATCCATTCCTGGAACATCCAGAAAGTTGTAACAGTTCCTATTTTTTAGTATTTGGTTATTTAAAACCATGTAAGCTGCATTGAATTTTACCCATCCATCCCGAATAATGCTGCATTCTGATCATGAGTAAAAACCTGAACCATTGGTAGCCTTGCAGTTTAGTGCCATTACCATTATTTCTGCCATAGGCCGAGCTGTCCGAGACCGCTTACCTGAGGGGAAAATGACTTGGAAAAGGATGATTAGACCAGCGTGCGAAAAATTCACCCCTGAAAACATCGCTTATTGCGAAAGCTACATCAATTTCATGAGTTCTGTGGATCCGTTTCGCGTTAAGTTTTTCGATGAAGCGGGTTTTTAGATTTCGCGTGATTTCCTTTGCTATTTTCGATTTCGAGAACAATTTCTTTTAGAACAAACATGCAATTACATGTAACTTTAACAACGGCTGAGATTTAAAATTCTCAGGGCCTGAATGTCAGACGACTGTCTCCTGTTGTCTGAGTCAAAATAACTGTCAACTTATTTAATACTCCGTTGAAGACAGCAAATTCGCTGCACTTGCAAGAAGAGACAACGCATTTTCTTTGACGCATCGCTAGTACTAGCGCAAGCAATACACGGGCCATGGCAAGGCACATTTGCAGCCGTGCAGTCTTCACTAAAATTAAAGTCTAGAGCTCGGGCTCGCGTAATCGATCTGGCATGGGGAAAAGATAACTGATAACTGTGACTGTATAAGGAAATTGACAACGCATTTTCTTCATACGAATTGCTAGTGCTAGTATATGTGCTACTTTGTCCTTGACAAGGGGCATTTGCTGACATGTCGTCTTCAGAAAATCTGAAGTCTGGAGTTTCGGAAATCGATCTTCCATGGGAAGAAGGCAACTGATCACCATGACTATAGCGCGGAGTGCTTCGTTGACTTTCACGCAGAGCCAAATTAATTTAATAGTCCTCCTCCTCTGGTGTCTGAGGCACAGGTATCGAATACCTCGAAGGCGGGCATATGGGATCAGTTCCCGGAAAGGTCACCCCTTTCTTCGCCCAGAGCTCTTTCACCACATTGGGTCTGCTACTTGAGCCCGGTGTCAACGACAAGAGCTTCTCTTGTGAGTCGTGTTTTCGAATTAGTTCTTGGAGATCGTCGTTTGGCCTAAGAACAGCCCCATGGCAAATATTCTCGATTTTTTTAACGTCTGTGTTGATTGCCATCCAGTTCATTAACTCTCGGCCACTCAGATGAGAATAAAGGGGTAAGTTTCTAAAGAAACTATACTTCTCCTTGCCGCTGTTAATTAAACATGTGAGGATACGTTAAGAATATGTACGCTTACTGGACTGCATGTTTTCAAGCAAACTATCACGTTCCTCCTTTAATCTTTTGTGTTTTGATTTCAAAAGCTGGAGATCAGTCTTTAAGTCTTTGATTTGTCGTTTCTCCTCTCCACATAGGCGCGCTGTAGTACAGCATTCATTCACGCAATTTGCGCGCGTATGGCCGGCCCGCAAATGACACTTCGTACAGGCTGTTCTTGTAGAATCTATTGGTCTCTGCGAGAAGGACTGCTCGAGTGACTCTATTTCATGAGTTTTAGTTGTAATTACTCTCGGGTAAAATGATGTTAATCCAACTGCGTGAGGAGTGAATTTCATTGTTTGGTCGCGGTACTATTCAGCGCTATGTTTTCATGCTTTCAACTCGACTCATTCGAACTTCAGGAAATGGTTTGTCTCGCAAAATGTGGAGCCGCTTTCTCTTTCCTCAACATCTCGAGGCGAGTTATGATGAACATGCTTGCGATACGACAATTTTTTTTCCTTATGCTGGAAACTGAAGAATCAATCTTTGAAACTAATAGTCATCATATTTTTCAAGACGCGTCCGAGCTCTGATCGTGTAATTAATGGGGTTCTGGCAATTTGAGCGGATCAATATCAGTAGCTGGGAACAGACCCTTATATAAAACTACCGTACAATTTTAACAAAATACCCCCTCATATAACTCGCCATTGTTATATAGCTACTCTTCAGAGGTACAATTAAAAACCCCTGGATGTAAGATACAAATCTAAGACCTCTAGATGTAACAAAGCATTCACGATCGATATCGACATCTGCGCGCAGACCCCAGATGTCAGATTTTACAATCGATATAAACATTAGGACACGGGTTTAACATGGCTGTGACATTGTAAGGTCAATATCAACATCTGAGCACACGATACACACTAAATGTAAACGTTTACGATCAACACGGACTTCTGATGGTAGGATTTTACGATTAATATCAACATCTGGGTACAGACTGGTCATGTAATACACATTCATTTGAACCCCTGATTGTAAGAACCCCTGATCGTAAGAACCCTTGCAGCTGATTGTAAGAACCCCACAGGGTGCCTGTCATGTAAGACATGTTCATTTGAACCCCTGAATGTAAGGAACAACGATCAATATCAATAACTAGGCACAGACGTGTCATGTAAGATACACTGATGTAAACCCCTGATTGTAAGAACTCCTGATTGTAAGAACTCCTGATTGTAAGAACCCCTGAATGCAAGACCCCTGATTGTAAGACCACTGATTGTAAGAACCTCTGATTGTAAAACCCCTGATCGTAAGAACCCCTGAATATAAGACCCCTGGATGTAAAGAAAATTCACGATCGATGTCAACATCTGCGCGCCGACCCCTAGATGTAAGATTTTACGATCGTAATAAACATCATAGCACGGGTTTAATATGAATATGATCTCGTAAAGTAAATTTTAACATCTGAGCAGAGGATACGCACTGGATGTGAGAATTTGCGATCAACACACACCCCTGATCGTAAGATTTTACGATCAATATCAACATCTGGGCACAGACTCGTCATGTAAGACACGTTGATTTGAACCCCAGATTGTAAGAACCCCTGGTTGTAAGACCCCTGGTCGTAAGAACCCCTGATTGTAAGAGCCCCTAATTGTAAGAACCCCTGATTGTAAGAACCCCTGATCGTAGGAACCCCTGATTGTAAGACCCCTGATCGTAAGAACCCCTGGTTATTTGAGCTCACAAGCACGCTGGTAAACACATGGTTAGCGTAAATAATTGTTGTTTACAATTTTCGAATGCAATAGCATTGTTAATCAGTATCAGGGATCAACGTTCGGTATTATTTAGGAAAGCAATATACAGCTCTTGGTCGCTCTCTGATAAAATGAAGAATCAATGAGTTCACTTTTCGTTGAAAGGTGTCCAAAACATCGATCGTCAAACACAAGTAATTTTGATCTGATTGAGCAGCGCTCAGTCGCGTCCTCACGACCAAAAGTACCATTAATACATCCTTAACATTAATTAAGTACAAATGATTTGCTTTGCTAGAAATCGCCGGAAAGTGATCTAACGTTCAGAATTGATTTAAAGCATTACCTTCACTACCAAACGAAGGTAAAATCAAAGGCAAAAGAATCATAACAGCTTCAATCCAGGATTCCATCTTTGGTCTCGAAGACGTGAATGACATAGTGGTAAGTGATATCGACTATAACCCCAAAATTAATTGAAAACTTACTAGGCCTTTGGGAGCGGAAGTGTAACCCGATTGCGTGACACGTGCACTAAAACGTATATCAATCCCAGAGTACCCGTGAAATTAAATTTCACAAAGCGAGGCGAGTGCCTGGCAAAAAGGAAAATGGAAATTATTATTTTTTTGGTATGTGTGCACTCTAAGGGGCACAGTTTACGCGCTAAATTTTTGATGTTAGATAAAATTTGGTTTCTTTAAATATTCGCCAAATTGTAGACTTTAATGAAGAACAAAGGCTAAGTCTCTTCGTTTCTCTTTGTTATTTTGAATTTTGAACCGTCAAAGGTCTAAGATTTCGCTGTCTATCGTCAAAATAGAGTTGTTTTATCCACACTCTCAGCAGCTAACTTCCGCTCACAATAGACACAATGGGAAGGATTTGGGGTAGTAAGACGGCATTTGGAATAACAGCTACTGACCTTTACTGTTCAAAGCGGATTAGTGTGTTCTTTCAATCTCTGGGATTGTTTCAAAGTGGTTGAAACATTGTCTTGTGTTGACTTATTTTAGCTTTTGGTTACATTCGAGAGTCAAGATGTGAAGTGCACTCATTTAATTTTTTCGATATTTTATAGCGACTAAAACTAATGAACACAAAAATGCGAATGAAAAGGCAGGTTTGAAAATGAGAAATGATAATCAGCTTTGTGAAAAACAACTTTCCCCATTCAATTTTGTTTGCTTTCTAAAAGTTACCTTTCAACAGTGAAAGGTTCTTAAATTAAGGTACAGCTCAAAGATCTATACAGTTTTGGCTTACATATTCTTAAAAACATTCTCTCTGTGTATAGTTGAAAGCGATCTATTCAAAGTAAGGCCTGCAGTCTGTAAGAGACTGCACGCTTTAAAGGTGTAGGTTAACAAAAAAGTTACGTAAGCCTGAGGCTAAATTGCTCAGGAGTTAGATGAGAAGGTTTATTTTTATCAGAGGTTGCAATGAAAGCACTCAAACCTCGTAACTGCCGAAAGAAATTTCTTGTACTACATTTGTATTTGCTGCTTGATAAGGAAATAAGTAAACAATGCAGGCTTCGGTTGTTCAAAGTGTGGATAACGCTTTCTTACTGGATAAATCCCTATCCAGTGGATAGCGCAGTACGGTTTAAACACACTTCTCCACTGGATAGTGATTTGTCCGTCGGATAGCGTTATCTGTCCTTTGAGCAAGTGAGCCCTGAAAAAAGCTTATATTTAGAAGGAACCTTCTTGTTCGACCATATCTTCAGGCTGAACGTAGGCATTTCTTCTGCTCAGTTGTTCATCTTGGGTTGCATACTGGTCTCCAACCTTGTTTCTGTTCATGAACCGTCGTGCAATGCGGTACTTGACAAATAAAACAGCCAATGCAGCAACTGCAACTAGAGCAAATCCTCCAGCGCCTGCTACGCCACCAATCAGCGCAGTTTGCTTGTTTTGACCAGTGTCTGAAATTTGAATGCAGGAGAGGAATCAAAGCTCAAGCGAAGACCGAACAAAGGAAGGCATTTAAAATTAAAAAATGACTCAATCTAATTTGCCTTATTTCTGTTAATGAAATTAGTTGTGGAAAAGAAAGAAGGAAATAACTTAATATTTATAAGCAAGAAACTAAAATCAACTGTTGACTTGATTTAAAATCGCCTTAGTTTACCTATTTTCCAAGTCCTTCAATACTCATATTTTTATTTTTGACAATAGAAAAATTAAGTGAAAATGTGAGTTACATATTAGGACCTGAATTTCCTTTTGTAAGTCTTGTTTTGAAAGCTTTCCTCATCATCATTATTATTTTTAAATCAGTGACAAACTACCTAAATTTGAAATTTAGGCAAGACAGCGTTGTTGACATGTTTAACACAAGCTCTATAGTATTTGAGAAAACCTATTTCAACCCCTTATTTTTCACATTATATGTGAACTTGCCTCCTGGTTCTTCGTCTTGTTGAAATATCAGTGGTCCTCGTGTAAGAGTGACTTTGGTAGTACTCTCTTCATGTTCTGTTTCGTCACGGGTAACATCCCTCCGCTTTCTCTTCTTACTGCCTAAACAACTTTGGGTGCACCTGTCAAAGTTGTTGAGGAATATTTGAATTAGCTTCGAACGCCTTTGTTATACTGTGAGTGATGAAATCATATTGCACTAAAATTTCTCAATGATGGTTTTGATATTCGTCAGTGATAAATGTTTCTGCACGAGTTGGTTAACTCACCTGGAGTTTGGAGAGTATTTATGACAGGCCAAAACTTCGCAGTGAATGTACACCTGCTGGTAGTCGTTAAAGAACCTGAACGCTCTGATTTTAAACTGCTGGTAATTCCTTTGGGGATCAAAGTTGTATTCCATGCTGGTATCTTGCGGACATCTGTTGGTAGTGAAAGTAAGAAGTAAGTTGAAATTCATGCGCGCACGTAGAACATTTTGCTCATTGTCACCTCAGTCTGTTTCTTTTTAATTCATGCTGCCACTAAGAAACTTCCTAAGGAATGTTCTGGGTAATTTTAGCTTTCAAAAGCTTGAATATTTAGTAAAGAAATGTAAAAAGGATTTTGTTTTTGTGATATAACGCCTTTCCCCAGAAACACGATGTGATGATGGCCTATATGGTCCAAGTCCACCCGTTCATTACTTCTTAGAATCAATAAAACATTCGGAGTTGTTTTTTAGTAACACCGACCTCCTCTATACTTTGCACCAAAACTTAAGCATTCGCAGCACAGGGGACTACAAAACTTTTAAAGCATATAGATGTCATATATAGAAAGAAATCTAGATGATATGAAATAGTGAATCGTTGATTAAATTGACTGAAACTTGCGTATTTTTCCAGGCAGACCATTCACACTAATATGTTCGAGTGCCATACAAACCCGTTCAGTATAATAGAGTATTGTGGCCAGGAGTACAAGCTTCCAGTTTTAGTGGCCCTACATGTCACAGCCATTATCACCAGATCAGCACTGGATTCTACACTGTATCTCACGTACAAGTACTGATTGACAGCCACGCTCAGAGGGTAGTCCTGCTCAGTATAGGGTGTGGCAAATGACGAACTCTTGTAAAAGTCAATTTTAAAGGTAAAGTTTCCATACCCAGCTGGAAAGCGGAAAAGATAAAGTCATTTAGCACATAAACGTGTTAAATTTTAAAACAAATCTGCATTCCACTCTAGAGATAAAGGGATGGCATCTTCCTTAGGAGGAAAGCACCCCTTGGCAAAAGATACATGTTGCTGATTTGGAGTGATCAGAACGAGAGCTGGAAAGTTTCATTTACCTTCTGTTCCAAAGTGTAGATGCTGAGGCTTGAAACCCAGGTTGACCCACTTCCTTCTCGAATAACTACAATAAAATGGAATTTTGACGTCATGTGATCTTGTTATGACATTGTCGATAAGGATCACCTCCGTTCGAATTTCATTCCAGAAGATAAGATCATCTTCAGTCTCGTTCAACAGTGTTCCGCAACCGTTCAAAGGAGTGTTGATCAGCAGATGGGTGTCATTCTGTGTGGCTTTACACGAGGAGTACCTCAAGTGTAGTCGGGCAACGTCAAAAAATGGAAATGTCTTCTTTTCTAAGGCAACCGTTATAATGTCACTGCAGTTAACAGACACACCAGGTTCTAAGATGAAATTAACAAGCAATAGCCTTAAATTTAGCAGGATTTTAATGTGTCCCAACTACTCGTGCCTAATCAATAATAACTTTGAGTTGGTTAAGTCACAAAAAAGTACCACGCATCCACAATGTTTTTTTCTGCTTTCCATCCAAATGAGCGAACACATGTGTATATTTTGGACAGAAGGGATAACAAAATAAATTCCTAAGACATATTAGTGCAGCTGAAATCTTGTCAAGCCTGCTGTTGCATTGGATAAAAAAATCTTATTTTTCCCGAAAAAATGTACATGCATTACAGGAACGGTCAGTCGTCTTTCATTGTTGATCGTTGTTTATTCCCATTCTTAACATAGGTAGAATTTTCCCTCAGTAGTTATATGCAGAGAGTTTAGCTTAGCATTCCTTACCAACACAAGTCAAATTGTTAGCACCCATACTGGTTCCTTCCGGACAGCCGCAATAAAATGATCCAGGGATATTGTAACAATGATGGCTGCAACCACCATTATTGATCGAACATTCATCAACGTCTGCGCAAAAGGGAAAAAAGCTATAAAATTGAAGAGAAACACGCAGCCGCCTCAAACATTAAAATTGTAAGATAACCTTACCATGGGTACTTAAGGAGAATGGAAAGCGCGCACGAGACGAGGAGAGTAACTTGGGCATTCTGAGGTCCATATGGTGAACCCTAAGAATGAATAGCGTTTAATTTCTCCCTATAATATCACCCGTGAATTCCACATAAAGACATGAGAATAAAGGAAATGATCACCAACAAAAGAAGTTCCACAAATTCTCCTTGTAGAACAGTATGGAGAATTTGCACAGTGATGTATGGGTGTAGAGGGCTCATTGATCCGGAACCTTGGTAAAGTATAAAACGGTTAGCACGCGTCAAATGATAAATTGGGATTAAAGCTGAACACAAAAAACATAACGATCTGTTATTTCAATCGCACACGCGTCGAAAAAAGTTTTGTTTTGTTTTGTTTTTGTTCTACTATGAGAATGTATCAAAAACAAAACGTCCTAAAACTTATTTTCTTAGAATCAATTTTACCTAAGCACGATTTCCCGTTTGCGGCCAGTTGGTATCCACTAACGCAAGAGCAGGTGTAACTTCCTAACGTGTTGTGACAACGTTGTTCGCATTGTGCCGGTAAATGAAACTGGAACTGGGAAGGATCTGGCTGGACGTTTACACTTGAAGCAGCATAGAAGGTCGTTCTCATTGCAGAAGCACGTGTCGGTTGGATTCCGTGCACTAAAAACAAGTGTAGACAGCTCTTTTACTGTTAATTCTATCCTCAGTCACTTATCCGATTAAGTCTTTTAGCGTAAATAATTAATTCAAAACTTTAATTGTAAATTTTTGTACTTGATGCATGATCTTTCAGCAGTTTTAGTTATAGCCAGAGTTCCAGTCTGGTTGTTAACTCCCCTTTAGTTGCTAAACAGAATTAGGTGTTAGATTAAGATAACAACTTCTTCCTGATAAGTTTGAGTATTCTCATCACCTGTTTGCTGGATGATGTATGGATATTATAGGGAGAAGTTACATAATAATCACTTCTGGGAGTTTTCACGCCAAATGTCGGTTTATTATTCTAACTGTCATTACGTTCTTTCTGTCCTTTCTCCGTTCAATTTTCGTCACGTATCGTATCACTGTAAATTACTGTTAGATTTAAGCTATTTCTTGGCGTATTTTAGAAATCAATGGCAAAGTAAATGTATGCTGATAATTTACCGGTGCGTTCGTAACAGAATTTTTTTCGAAACATGATCATTATGTGACAAACTGAAGGTTTAAAAAGAAATTACGTTTGGGCGAGAAATTTGTTCAGAAAAATATGGCAGACTCTGGATAGATAAGTGCAAATCATTAAAAAACGGCGTTCGTTAAGAGCACAGGCTTCGTTCACTTACCATTTGACGTGACAGGAGTGGCAGTTTGTGTCTGCATAGGAAAACATTGCACTGGACTTGTTATTGACACTTGTTGGCTTGGTAATGAAATTTTGTATCCTGCGTATGAGGAAGAGCTTTAATTCGTATATGTTAAGGAAAAAAACTGCTTACAGTAAGTGCAATATGTTGTTAATGATTCTAAGAGTCAGTCGTAGGTTATTTCTATTAAAGTATTTAAAACTCGTCAAGCACAAAACAATTTAGTACTTGGAAGGTGCGACTCGACCGACCGTCTAAACTTGCATTTTGCTTTACCTGGAGCCCTTAAAATATTTCATTTACACCACCTTACTTTCATCTAAATATTGTTATTTCAGAAAGGTTTTAAATAAATTGATTTATTCCTCTTACTGTAATATGAAGCTCGGTAATAAGCAGAAAATCCAGGCATCCCGATGATACCGTCCGAATGGAACAGCACCACGAGGAACCTCCCACTACTGTACAATCTCCACCATGCCAACTGGCCGCACGCCTTGACAAGACTAGGACTGTGCAGTGAGTTACCGTCAAGAATTTCGACATAATCCCACGGGCAGTTAGAAGATCCGTATTCCAAATGGAAAGAATAGAAACGTAGCTCGATGTATTGACCAACAGGAGCTTCGAGCAGCCAGGCGCAGTACTTGCTGTTCGGGTAACAACTTGGATAGCCTGGACTCTCAAAGTAACCCCTATGTTGGTTGAGGTGATGGGAACAATTTCCTGTAAGAGAGAATTTAAATATGTCAAAACAAAAACTACTACTTTGAATTTAAATGGATTCTTTGGTCCCTGTTTTACAGCTATCGTTTATTTGTATTCACGCTGATTGGATAGTTGTCTGGAAAGTTCACAATAGCAAAGGATTCTCATATTATATAAGGCATAGATGTAAGGGCTGGGTCGCATTATAGACCAATTTTCGGCTGGAAAACTAAATTGCATTAGACCGGAAATGAAATTAAGATTGAGCCTATACGGTCGCATTTCAGCAAGTGAAAATGCAAGCGTCGATCGCACAAAGGAAATTTGAGCGGTGAAATTGTGGTCAGTCACGACGCTTGCCACGCGGCCGAACAAGGAAGCATTGACTCTCAGGTTTTCTTTGTTCGGCGCTCACAACAGGCCAAATTGAGGGTGTGTTCAAGTCCTGAAGGAAGAAATATTGCTCACTTCTTGGCATTTGATGGCCGTAAGGAAAGGGAAAATCTCGCCTGTCCATGCTGTAGCTTCGAACTGCACGCAATGAAAACGTCAGTGTGAATGATGAAATTTCGCGCTCTTTTTCACGTTCGTAACCTTGCCGTCTATATTGGGAGTCATTCTTTTAAACTGTTGACAACTTTAGCGGCGTGCTCCTTTGGTTTTTCGAGATTTGGAAAAATTGGTCAGCCCCACCCAAGCACACCGGCGTCTCTAATGTTTTTTCCCGAATTTGAAATTTTTGAAAAATCACAAATGAGAGGTCGCATTGAAACAGATGTGTCGACAGAGTTTAGTCCCTAGAGTAAGCACTTTTCGGGAAAATTGCCTGTAATACGACCCAGCCTAAGGCCCTGAAAGAAGCATTGACTCATCTTTCACTTACATAACCAAGTTTCAAATTAATTTACCATCTTCATTTACATCATCATTGTGCAAAAGCATCACATCCTACATTCCTATTCTTGCATTATGCAAAACGTTTGCCACCATCGACCTAGTTAAACGGCTTAGCCCATCACGAATCCCCCAAGTCTCAATGTATGGTAGAGCATCCGAAGTACTGATCGGAAGGTCGTACGTTCGACTCCTATTCGGAGCGCTCGGAGTTCTTTTTCGCCGATTATGCTATCTCATTCACTGAGTAACACCATCTTTTATGTTGATTTATTAGTCAGCGGAATCGTTTAAATCTGAACTGAGAGCTATGTAGCTGGCTCCAATTAAACTACATAGAAACTCATACCATGCCGCATCCAAATTAAGACCTTCACTTAAAATGTTATAAGGACATGCTTTGATTTCTACCACTCATCACTTACCAGGAATAGCCGGGGTAACCGCGGCAATAGACTGGGCTTTAAAAAGCAAGAATAGATATGAATGACGGTGCTAAGTATTGAATTTCATAACCACTAAGTATTATTCTTAAAAATGCATAATTACATTGAGAAAGGCTGACAAACCTGTTTCATTTTCAGGCTTAGACATGAGAAATATTTCGTGGATTGTTCATCCAATTTTCTTAAGACTATTATTTCTTTAGTAATTTAATAATTGAAGAATACAGAAATCTAGAAATAGTAGAGCGTATTCGAATTAATCTTACACATGCATATCAGTTCCTCCTCTGTACGGAAAAACCAAAAAAATCAATTGGAGTGAAACAGCTGAAACTAGTCTATGTTAAAGTAAAAGGTACTCACAGGGTGTAGGTGCGATATTAGTTGAGTGAAGAGCTGAAAACAAAATAAATGAACATTCATTGAAAAGGGTGCGTGCATAGAACAATTTCAATTCTATCGAACAAAACTGAATTATATTTTTGATGGCATCATTCTGTCAACCACAAACATGGTACCTTTAATTTAAATGTAACTTACATTTCCTCATAAACGAATACAATCTGCAAGGTTTCTTCAATGATTTAACTGCTCGGAGAGATGCAAGCTTCATTTATTCAGCTATTGACGGATTAATCGACCGATTCATGGATTGGTTAAATGATTGACTGGGATTTCTAGCCTTCCTCTTTTAATGCAGGCTAATTTATTACTTGACAAACTGAAGGTTTAAAAAGAAATTACATTTGGGCGAGCAAACTGTTCAAGAAATACGGCAAATATCTGGATAGATAAGTGTAACTCATTAGGAAGATAGCGTTTGGTCCATGTTTTACAGTGACCGTTTATTTGTATTCACGTTGACTGGATAATTGTCTGGAAAGTTCACGCTAGCAAAGGATCCTCATATTATATAAGGCATAGATGTAAGGCCCTGAAAGAAGCATTGACTCATCTTTCACTTACATAACCAAGTTTCAAATTAATTTACCATCTTCATTTACATCATCATTGCGCAAAAGCATCTCATCCCACATTCCTATTCTTGCATTATGCAAGACGTCTGGCACCATCGACCGAATTAAACTGAGTAACACCAGCTTTTATGTTGATTTATTAGTCAGCGGAATCGTTTAAATCTGAACCGAGAGCTGGCTCCAATTAAATTAAATAGAAATTCATACCATGCTGCATCCAAATTAAGACCTTCACTTAAAATGTTATAAGGACATGCATTGATTTCTACCACTCGTCACTTACCAGGAATAGCCGGGGTAACCGCGGCAATAGACTGGGCTTTAAAAAGCAAGAATAGATATGAATGACGGTGCTAAGTATTGAATTTCATAACCACTAAGTATTATTCTTAAAAATGCATAATTACATTGAGAAAGGCTGACAAACCTGTTGCATTTTTAGGCTTAGACATGAGAAATATTTCGTGGATTGTTCATCCAATTTTCTTAAGACCAATATTTATTTAGTAATTTAATCATGGAGGAATAAAGAAATCTAGAAATAGTAGAGGGTATTCGAATTAATCTTACACATGCATTTCAGTTCCTCCTGTGTAAAGAGAAATTAAAAAAAATCAATCAGAGTAGTAAAACTGGACTCATACTTGGCGTAGACGTATACGTCACACTATTGTTTCATTGTTTTCTTATTTCTGGTTGTGATGAAATTCTATTGTGACGTATACTGTGTCTTCTACACCAAGTAAGAGCCAAAAACTGAAACTAAATTTATGTTAAAAGGAAAAGGTACTCACAAAGTGTATGTGTGATATTAGTTGAGTTAAGAGCTGAAAACAAAATAAATGAACATTCATTGAAAATGTGTGCATGGAACAATCTCATTTCTATCGAACAAATTGAATTATATTTTTCATGGCATCATTTTGTCAACCACAAGCATAGTGCCTTTAATTTAAATGTAACTTACATTTCCTCATAAACAAATATAATCTTCGAGGTTTCTTCAGTGATTTAACTGCTCGGAGAGATGCAAGCTTAATTTATTCAGGTATTGACGAATTAATTGACCGATTCATTGATTGGTTGGATGATTGACTGGGATTTCTAGATATATACCATTTAAAGTAGTTTTTGTGCTCGAATAGACGTCTGTAAATGGAAATAAACACCACAAGAAGTTCCCAGGAGGAATTATCATTTAATCGATATGACCCCTTTGCTCAGAGAAGAAAGCGTTTGACACATCGACTGTCACCTCTTAGTAACATTTTATTGAGTTAGTGATACACTAAAGGGGTGATGGCTTTTACGGCTAATGGTTAAAATTTTGGCGATTTTACAGCTAACGCAAGGGGTTCATATCATTTCATATCTGTACGATAAATTTGTTTTTAACGGTGAACATTGTTTACGACTAACGGTTAAAATCTGTCAATTTTTACACCTAACGGGTACATTTTTTTAGGCCGTTTTACAGCTATCGGTTATCCCCATCGAGACCCTCTGTAAAGTCAAGGTTCTAAATTCTGTCGAAGTCTTCAGCTATATTGACCATGACAATGAGTTTCAGAGAGATCCAAACTGAAACAAAGGAAATGATGAAACTGAAATTGTGTGATTTTTAGTCGTTTTGCCGGGGAGTGTACAATAATAGTAAATTTTTGGAATGTGAAGATCATCGAGAGAATACAAAATTGAGAAGTTGCACATCGTGCTAACGATCCGAAAACCAGTAAACTTTAATCCGCACTCAACTACTTAGTTTCATGAAAACAAGAAAAGAAAAATATGACTATGGTCGTTCTGTTCGTCAATTTGGTATTTGTGAAGGTAGAAGAGTGGAAAGGAGAAGGGAAAAGGGGAGCAGATGAGCATGTAAACTTAGCGAAAAGATGACAAAAAAATTTTGCTCTGGGCTATCTTTGGCGGATTGGAAGAGGAGGTCAAAGACAAACGAATGGAGAACCATTTCACACCAGCCCCTAAAAGAAGAATTCCGAGAAATCAGCTCCTTAGAAACCACTGCAGCAGTATGCCAGGTTCTACTGGAAGAGGATGATGATCTAGTTTTGCGCATGTACAGATGAAATTTTGTTTTCAACTCAGTCACGATTTTAAGATAGATCATGTTCCTAGAACTGACAGGGTAAGTCCGCTTCTTCTGATGATCCACATAAATGAATGATAATCGAAACATTATGCGAGAGGCCTTATTTTCCATTACTATTATGATTAGCGTGAGGAAGCATGACAAAAATTATGGTACCAGTAGATTTATATACCCGAATTTTGAGAAAACACGTTGAACCACCAATAAGAACGTTTTGATCGATGATGTCCGCCGCATTCGTCTATATCTGCAAACAGAAAAGAAATTTTCATATGGATAGACTCTCTTTGAAAAAAATACATCTAAACTTGAGTTTATGCTTACATTTAAAATATTGAAATGGTTTACACTATTTGAACTAATATAATTTCTATTTTGAGGCACTTCTTGATCTCATTAAATGTTTGTTTTTTATCTATTTTTCACACTCAAACAGCAGACATCAGAATTTCTGCGCAAAGAATGGTGGAATATTAAAAGTGAACATCGAGACTGAGTTTTGCGACTTTAAAAATTAGGATATCACATGATGATCATCCTAATGGAGAGCAATTTCATTCTAAAAAGTCGTCTGGAAAGGGGTAGCACTTATTTCATTAAGTCAATTCCAACAGCGTATCCTTCATGCACGTAAGAATTTCAAGAAAATTATAACAAAACCCATTTAGGCCGAAAACAATCATTCTCACTATATATTTAAAGGCCTTGTTCTAAAGTTTGTCCTATTAACAGATGGCTTTTACTGCATCGGTTGAGATTGGAGCATGGTTGATGCACCCTCATAACCCATACCGGACCAATGTAAGGCAAAGATATCGGGTACTTGTTCACTAAATACTACAACACTGGACGTACCCTCACACTTTTGAAAACTTGGAGAAACCAGAGCATAACCAAGAGGGCAGACACCATCTACGGGGAAGGTCCAGTCTATGGGTGAGGTTATACCAGGTGTTGGCGGACCATCATTCGAGCAGCCCTGCCCAACTACTGCACCGGGATCTATCAAGATTGCATATGAACCATTCATGCTCAATGCAGCCTTAGGAGTGGCAAAATGCAGTACTGTGCGGTTACTGTCGATAATAACGTAACCAGAGAGGGCATTCACTTTGAAGACGGTAAAACCATTTGACTGCAGAACCAATCGGATGAATGCTGAGCTTCTAGGCTTCTTTATCTGCAAAAAATCAGCCTCAATCGTAAATTCAAGTATATTCTACTTTATTTATATATGTTTCCCTAACCTTTTGAATTCCCAAGGTCTGAAAGCTAGTTCTTCCAAAAGATGACTGTAAATTTGTTTTTAATTATTTCCTGGTAACGGGAATCTGGTGTTATATCGGGGTAATATTCCCTCGTCATTAATTAACGTGACTGGTATCCCTTGAAGGCGTGAAATTTATCATATACTAATATGGGCCTAAATACAAGTTACTCTTTGAAAGGTAAAGAATAGAGGGTTAATTACCACTCTGTTAAAATGAATACTCCACCATGTTAGTCCTGTCCCAATCTCACTTATGGGACTAATTGGCCTTCGTGTACCCAAAATAACATGAGGTGTATTACCTAAAAATAAGTGTATATATATTGAATTAATAACTAAATGGTACATCGTAATTCAATCGTAGATGAATCACTAACTGACTCAATGGATATGCTTTTATGACAATTTTTGTTTATTGTGATGTAAGGTTATCATTGCCTTTTTATTATTAACATAGATTATATTAATCGTTATTTTTACCATCATGTGTGTTTGTTTGTGTAGTTCTAGTCAGCATCAAAAACAAATGAACCTGCCAACTCCTTAACAATATTAAAGATTAAACAGAGGGAAAGAGAAATTAACAAAGCTCAATTTATCCTAATGTCTCAATAAATTGAAATGTTCCAGAGGGTATAAAATTACTTACTTAACCCCACAAGGATCGTAATACAACGCCATTCACTTTGTAATCTGTAAATTGTAAGTGACACGAATCATTAATATAAATACACGCCGATTTACACAACATGAACTTTGTTCATACTCCTGTAAATTACTAACGACGTGCTCTAAAGTTGAATTGGCACATATCTGTTTTTGCTCGTACCGGTACTCCAGCACATGTATGTTGTATTAGCATAATGTTGCTCTGGTGCATTTTTAGTTAAGAATACTGCAGACATGAACATCTAACATTCCAATGAAACAACAATAGTGTTATGCTTTGTCGTGAACAGTGATCATTAATTCTTTTTAAAACTTGAAAAAAAAATAGATCTAACTTCAGTTTATCACAATCCAAATTCCAGGTACAAAATCTTTTTTACAACAGACGAGACCATCTTACCCGTCTGAATCCAAAGCTTGAAAGCAGAACAACTGCTGCCCAATTTGGTTCTGACTCGGATACCATGTGACATTCCTGAAGAAGATGCCTCCATGGAAGCTTAATGGTGTCAGTTGCATTCCAAGTGGAGAGCTTGTGGTTATCTCGACAATACTAAGAACATTAAGAAAAGAGCCTAGGTTAACAGCGAACATAACATGACAAATAATGTACCTTTGGATATGTTTTAGTATAAACAGTTCATGGATGTAAAAGGCAAACTCAGATGCTCTAAACTTGTAACCTTGAATACTTACTGTTTACTAACGTTTGGAAGCCGCACCTCAATGACTGCTTTGTATACCGACCCAATCTGAATCTCTGAGCATTCACCATTTTGAGGTGTGGAAGCAGTGAAAACAGGTGTGTCCTGGCAAGAACCAGACCCAACGCCTATTATGACAAGAAACTGCAGTGGCACAGCACTGAATGGTCTGATGTTATTGAAGTTTGTGGTTCCAGCTGGAAAGTCTTCCAAAGTTAAGGTTACTACATATGTGCCCGATGCTCCAAGTCCACCTCTGTAAGTTAGAATGCAGTTTTTCTGCAAAGCGGAGTAAGAAAGAACACCTTTATTAGATACATCGGGCAAGTTAAGATTATCCTACCTCTAGGTGCCATGTTAAGATCTCACCAGGATTAACAAGAAAATCACAACATAGTTGTTCATCCTTCTTTCTTTCACGTGTTGATGCCATTCATCAAGAATAAGCAGGACTAAATTTCTTTCTCCTCTATGGAACGTTATTTTTTTTTCCATATTTTTGTCATGGAAGTAATGGAAGATTCTTTTAGGGTTTTTATTGGTGATCGTCCTAATTTACAAGGTTTAAAATTTTTTCATATTTTTATAAAACAAGGGGAAAAAACATAATAAGAGTGTATAAATATACCTCATCAAGTTCACCGTAAGGAAAACTATCACTTGGTATGGAAGACTCGGCGCTAGTTGCCCAACGACATTTCACAAAATCGCCATCTGGATCTTCAACTGGAATTGTAAGTGACCTCTGACAGCCCTGTTGAAACCGTACAATAGCTGGGCTCTTAGAGACTGGAGATGAGTTGATTTTGCCGCTATCAGATCGTCTGTAGAGACTTATTTTGGTAGATACCGACCATTGTGCATTAGCATATCGCACAAGATTGGAAATCCAACAGCAACTTTGGTAGCTGTCGACAAAGCAAGAAGGGGATGTTTTTTAAATACACTGAGACTGCTAAAAGTTAACTTGATTTGGGAAGACAAGCGGCATCACATGAACGAACCTGAACATGTGAAAGTCTTTAACGCGAGCCAGCGAACTTACCAAAAAGTTAACTGGAATGGAAGAAAGGAGTAATCGAGTGACTGAGTATTGAAGCGATGGAAAGAAGAAGAGAATTCCGGGTCATAACCACTACTTGGTGATGGCCTTCAGCCGTTACCATATTCGAAAGATCACCTCAATGTTGAAAGATAATTTTTTTCTGCTGCCTTAAAAGTGAAACATTCTAAAAAAGTCAGTTTTCACGAGTTTCTTTTTCTCTTAATTCACATATTGACCCACCTCACATTCCACTCCAGATTTCCTGACGGAAAAGTGTAGGTGAAGTTATTTTCCCCCATTGACCAGTCTTCATTGCGACTAAAGTCAGTACAACGAAAGCGAGTGTCCGCTATATAATAGCTCAGTGAACACACTGCACTGAAAGGATCGCTGCACTTAGCTTTCCAAGAACCTCCAGATCCAATAATTCCTCCTACGTTAATTGTGTTCTCATCACAGTAATATGACCCAAATGACCTTCGAAGAGCCAGACGGAAGGTAAACCGTACCTGGAAAGTAAGTTATATACAAAATTTCGATCTTCTCTGAGACCTTTAAGTAACGAGTACAATTAAATTTGATAGAATCCCATGCACACGTTAACGGAAAGTATTTTACCCTAACTATATTTCAAAATGCCTTCATCATGTTAGATGGTCATGGCCCATTGCCAAGTTTAAAAAAAAAATAGTGATATCGATGGAACGCAATGATAAAAAAAAATTAAGGAACAGTATTTCCCTCATATAGCTATGCCAAACAGACATCTTAACTGCCACTACACCCGGGGGTGAAGCAGTTCAGGTCCAAGAAGGAAACCCTGTATGTCCTTCTCCATGTTCTGAAGGTTTCTTTAGCCGCTACACCCTGTACAAATTTTGTGAAGACGTCTCATTATTTTAACTCTATAGCAATTGTTATATGTTTTCTTTTCTTAAAGTGTCAGTGAATTTGCGTCATTGCTGCATTTTGATGAAGGGGGCGGTTTCATTCTTCAAATACCCTTCCGGTTAAATGACTTTTCTCAAAAGACAGTCCTTCAATGTGCTTCATATACACATATCTGAGTAACTAAACACAGTTGCCCTCGTCAGACTCTTTGCTGTAGAAAGTTTGAAATCAGTGCCTACGGTAAAAAAAAAAGTCAACCGCTAAAACGAAAAAACTGGAATGTTAACCAAAATTGGGCGGATGAAGTTCAGTACGCTTCGGCGTGAATATGAATAAATGATTACAAAAATCGCAGTGTTTCCAAGAAATGGCCACAGTTGGTTGCGTCAAATAAGATAGAACGTGATTCCTTCTTTGCTTAGTATAACGTGCTTAAAAAAAGTAAAAGAAAAAAACACTTTTATGTAATTCAAGCAGATACAATGAAAAATAGCAGGATTGACTCCGTCGCCCTTAATGGCAAACGGCTGTTGAAAATTAAGCCAAATCATGGCTGGATGATAATTCTCTTGCGTAGGCGTGTGAAGAAACTCATGAATATGAACGAACAACCAGAGACACAGCTGGCTGAGCCAAAAGAAGAACGAACTCGATTTCCTCTTTGCTAAGTATCTCTCCAACGTGAAGAAAAGAAATCAAAGCAGGAATACAAAAATGCACCGTTTGAAGCTCAATAACATGCTGCTAAAAGATTGCAAGGTTAAAAAATCGCTGAATTGTGCCGTACACTTCACTGAGAGGTGATCCAACAGACGAAAAAAAACTATTTAAGCACCTACTGTTAAGACTTGCTGCGCACACACACTCTAGCAAAAAAAAAAAAAAAACTAATTTTGATTAAAATGGCGTACAAAGGCAGTTTTTTCTTTTCTTTTCAAGTCTAAAAATACAAAGCCACCAAAGGTTCAATCGCTTCCAAATTTCATCAATGGTCATAACAAGAAACTTAGTAAAGAGCGTCAATCATGTACTGTCTCAGTGAAAGAGAGCAGATCACGGTAGTTCAGAAATATGAAGCATCCATCTAAATTAACAAGGCGCATCGAGAGCCGTGAAAAGATCAGGGGATGACAAAATAAAAACGTATATGCGAACTGGTTCGAAGCATTTGAATGCCATTGAAACCAAATCGCAAAATATAGCAATAGAGCAACATACTACTGATACTGATCAAAAAAGAAAAATACGCCCACTGAAGTTGGACTCAATGCAATGTACCACCAAGGTTTTATATACTACAGGCAAAAACGGTAGAAAACAAATATCTGAAATTAGCTCAGTAGCTTACAATTAAGGACCATACCGTGTAGTTATCAGCATCAGTCGGAACAAAGCTCATGACGGCATGTCTGAAGTGAGACCCTTCCACTAAAAACAACCACTGCACGAACACCAGTAAGCAAAGAAGGTGCGTGAAAGTATAAGGTGTCATCTTGCGTAGCCTTCCGTTTCGATTGACCCACTCCAAAAAAGAAATTGTGATATAGCTGCTAAACTAATTTCACCAGGCACGCTAGGCATGAGCTTAAGTTATAGCATGTCAATTGGTGGTTATTACAACTCATATTTTGCTTCTGTTCAAACATGAGTGAAGAAAGCTTATGATATATATATTTCACAACCCAAGAGAATACAATAAAGGTTGTTTGGCGTACATGCATAGCAATCACTTCTTTTCTTTTCATGGCGTAGGCATTAATTACATGCCTAGTACGTGGGAACATTGTTGTCACAGTTTGAAAAGTCATATTTATTAGCCTCAGAAAGCACGTTTTAATTACAACTAAGCATAACTCAGGAGTTTTGTGACCGTCATATTCCAGAGTCTTGAAATCCTAGAAAACATGTAACTAACTTGTTCCCTAAAATTTATATTTTTGGAATATGAAAAGCTAACTGCACCTGGTGCATACTGCAAGACAATATATCTACTCGAGACGAGCGCCTCCTGTGATTTGTCTAAAGATAGGCTTTAGAGTGGGGGAAATCAGGGAAAAAATGGTATCTAGCAATGCATAGCTCGATCGAAAAAGCTAACGCAATCACTAAGTGTAAGTCTAAACCACCAGACTGTGAATTCACACCTTGTTTTCGTTCTACTTATCACGATTCTAATGAGCTGTTTTTAAGACCCCACTTCTAGAAAGGTAAAGACTTAAGAGAAACTCGCATAGTCAGGCAGTTGTAATGAGACATGCAAATTGTACAACCAACGTACAATGCAGAACGTTCTTCAAAAGTTCGTTTAAATTTATTTCACTTTTTAGAGTATGTAAGAAGTCTGGAAATGGACACAGCTGATTGGTCTTGACAAACAACATTCTTGAAGATGACTGATTTCCTTTGTGTTGTTGATTCAGTAAGTATTTTAATAAGCACCTAACAGCGTTTCAAACTTGCCTTTTGACCTGATATTTCTCTAATTGTCCCGAAAACAAGACTTTATCACGAAACCTACTAAATATAATTAACTTCTTTTACGTTGAAAGCGTCTTCCTAAATATCGACAACCATGCACTCTCCCGTGCAATCTAAATTTATTTTCAAGCCGAGTGTAGACTCAGGGTAGGAAACAAAAATAGAAAACATGAAAACCCCCTTTGCATTATTTTTCAACCTAGTGATTTCATGGTACTGATAATAGTTTCGCCATTACTTGATTGACTCATTGAGTTGCTTTTTTTCTAAAATCTTTTCAAACATTCATTTCGCTTCTCGAGCTTTCGATCAATTCGACGCTAGTTTCGTAAATGTAAACTTCTTCGTTTTCTTTTTTCCTTCTATCTTGGTTTATGAAATTTTAGGTATTATAAAGGTTCTTTAAGATAATGGATAAACTTTAGTTAGAAAATCTGGTCTTGAATAAATGCTAAATAGGCGCCTCCGGGATAAAATGTCAATACTACAGTAACACTCATTTCCCTACGTAGATGACGCCGATAAGAAAAAAACGAACACTGTGTACTAACCTTCTTCTTCAATAATTTTTGGCGCAAATTGATTAGTAGGTTATTTGCTTTAGTTTACCCAGGGATACTTTAATTTGTAGCAGATAATATGAAAGTTTCCATCGGTCGAATCATATGCAAGTACTGCATTTTCCGTCTTTCTATCACGGACAACGAAACTGTGGCATGTAATAAGCCATCAAGGTAAAGCGCGCTACCTACGTAGGATGCTTAATGATTACAAGCGCAGTAAAATCGATCATTTGAATTTGACTCTGGAATGCTACATGTGGTGTCTTTGTCCTAATATACTAAACAACTCGCGTCATAACAACGGCATGTTTTTAATCGTTTAACCTCTTGAGACCACATGCTCCTACTACATATCCTATAATAATAAAAACAGTCAGAATGAACATACGGGACACTACTAAATATACTACTATACTAAACAACTCGCGTCATAACAACTACATGTTTTTAAACGTTTGACCCCTTGAGACCACATGCTCCTACTACATATCCTATAATAATAAAAACAGTCAGAATGAACATACGGGACACTACACTACAAGTACTGATTAAGCCAAAGAATCAACAGAATTGGTGATAAACTGTTAATTGGTGATACATTTATTTACTTAGACCGTGTACATCAATCCTTCGCTCGGGCACAATGTGTAGGCTGAGAAAATTTGTTTTGGAAAAGGCTTGATCTCCTTGATTAGATTGTAAAATATGTAAAACCTTCATTGCAGTGCAAGAGATAAATCTTTTCATGAAGAAACCCTCCCCTTGCCTCATACCTGCTCCCATATGTTTTCCATTTTTTTGGTACTATTGAATTCAGGAAGAGCTTATTGTAAGCCCAAATAAGGGGAGGTATCAATATACTTTGAGCTTAATTAAGAGAATTTGGTATTGGATCAACTAATAATCCTCTTGTTGATATTTTTCTTCATTCTTATTACTTGTTGGCTTGATATTGTATTGACATGGTAAGGAAAAATCCTGTCATGATCACTCATGGGAGTGAAAGGGTTAAGTAATGATTACAGTTCCTATTTTTTAGTATTTGGTTATTTAAAACGCTGCATTGAATTTTACCCACCCATCCTGAATAATGCTGCATTCTGACTATGAATGAAAACCTGAACCATTGGTAGCCTTGCAGTTAAGTGCCATTACCACCAGGTCAGCACTGGACTCCACACTATACCTGTACTAGATACATGTCGTCATTGAGAGTCACATGCACAGAGTAGAAGGTGAGAAGTGTCACATATGCAAAGCTTCTTTAGATTTCAAACCTGACGGTGAGGTTACCTGGCCTTTTTGAAAATGAGCATTTATTTAGAGACATGATAGTCATGCATGAATAAATGAAATGGGAAAGGTGGCTGAGCCGTTGTAAGTAATTAAGGTGGCCTCTCCCACAAGGACATTGGTTTGTTAAGCTCTCATTGCCTCATTAGCGGAGCTCGCAACGCGCACAGCATAGCACCATAATCAAAAAAGGAAATAGAGATAACCTATCAAGCCGAAAAAAATTTCGACTTACGACCGTACGACCGACCGTACAAAGTGCTACCGACAGCATTCGCAGCCAACTACATTGCACGCACTGTCTAAGCCGTTATCAACGAAGAGAAGCGAACTAAAAAGGATCCAATAAAGAAGAGGAGGTAAGTCGTGTCTTATCTGGGTTTTCTCTTACGCTAAGGCCCAGAAAAATTCAAACCTCTTTTTACCAATCGTCGTTTGATACTAGCTTCAGTTTATAATTCAAATCACGTTTCGGGAAACAACGACTTTGGCATTCATTGCTTTAAAACCTTCGCGCCGGTTCATTACTCGAATAACTTTTAAAGTGTTCGTATTCTTCAAGTTATTTCTTTTCCTATCTTTGGAATGTTTAATACAGCCATGTTGTTATGGGAAAAGAAGTTGTCTTACGGAGTATGTTTTACTTGGAAAGTTTTCAAATGATAGGGAACGGCGAGAGCAAGTTTCTATCATTCTCTCTTCACTAAACTATCACAGTGTTTACTTTACTCATTTAATAAAATCGTGCTTTGTCGAAGGACGAAGTAATGGCCTTTCCCCAAATTGAAATAAAATGAGATTTAGTCAGCGATGTTCATGTTTACATTACGTTAGACACGGTAATTTGATTTTGACAATATTGTCATGTGAGAACCCGTCAAACATCATGGAATTAAATTACCGACCGCAAATGTGTTGATCAAACAAACTCACGGGTAAAATGGTGTTAGTCCTACTGCGTGAGGAGTGAATTTCATTGTTTGGTCGTGGTACTATTCAGCGCTATGTTTTCATGCTTTCAACTCGACTCGTTCGAACTTCAAGAAACGGTTTGTATCGCAAAATGTGGAGCCACTTTTTCCTTCCTCATGCTTGCGATACAAAAATTTTTTTCCTTATGCTGGAAACTGATGAATCAATCTCTGAAATTGATAGTCATCATATTTTACTAGAAGCGCCCGAGCTCTGATCGTGTAATTAAATGGAGTAAGCGCATGGTTAACGTACTGAAATAATTGTTGTTTACAATTTTCGAATGCAAAAGCAGTTTTTGAGAGATTTTTTCTTTATCCATCCTGGATATTTTCTGTTGAATTCTTTGAGTTACGATCTCGGAATTTCATGAGGGATTATAAACGATAAGTTCGCATTGGCACCACAATTTCGGGAAGTTTTGAGAAAACACTGCCAGTTTATAATTCTTGCACCATTTCTGTAACCTGCTTGGATATTTTCTTTGAATTAATTGAGTCACACCCTCGGAATTTCATTAGCAACTAAGAACGATAAATCCGTGTATGTAGCACAAGTGAAATACATTTTAAACTTTCCATACGATCTTAGGAAACTATACTTAATTGACTTTCGATAAATTGGCCTGGCATAGCTCGTTGATTATTTTATTTCCTGTAGCCCCAAAAGCAACTTGACAAAGGAGGAAGGTTAGAATAAAATTGCTTTTGCGACTGTCTAATGCACCTGGTTTACAGATGTAGATAAGAGCACAAAAAATACCTATTATAGCTGTATTCAGAAGATAGACATGTAGGTAATATACTTCTGCTTTATTTTATCGTAACAGGTTTCTTTTCATGTAACGCATATCCATTCCTTTAATTTCCTCCCTAGTCTGCCGGCAAATGATTAAATTTTAAGTTTTAATTCAGTGTGAGAAGATAAAACAGAAGTGTTGCAGAGTTCTCTTTCTAGATTGAATTCAGGTTAGAACATCAGTAAACTAGTAAATATCGTATGCTTCTCCTGAACCTTTAATTTTATTGCCTTGGTTTTTTCAAAAAGCCTCTTTTAGACCTTCCGTTTGCCAGCTAATTATTAAAATCTCAGTGAATAGATAAGCCATATTTAAGTAGTTTTCTTAAATTCCATCTTTAAATTTTTGGCATTTACTATTTAAAAATTAATAAATGGCATTCCCTTTTCATCGCTGTAAAGAGGTATTACACATTTCTTCAACTAAAATTTGAATCATGAAGTCAACTTATTTTCAATGAGTTTGAA